AGCCAGTTACAATCCTGGAGCAGTAACTTCGCACCCTATAAACGAAAGCTTTCTTGCACGACCAGTTGCTGCTACTACATCAAGCTCACAAACTCTTTACTCCATCCCCAGTCGACCAGGTGGTCAGTTCATGGCACACCAGGGTCATGGAATGCCGCCTTCCCATGGTCTACAAAGAACTGAATCCGTGCCTAATAACAATTTCATGGGAGACATGTTTTCACAAGGTGGACAAAAAATCTCCTTCAGTCATCATCCTCTCATCAAGATCTTACACCATTAACATGAGCGATTGAGGTTGTTCCTCAGTCTCAGAAAAAGTTTGAGCCAAAATCATTTGTCTAGGTAGATACGTTGAGCAGGGGGCTTGTTAACTTGAACATATCTGGACGTCAGTTAGAAAATAAAGACAATAAACCCAGTTTGGAGAAAACTTTCCAACTTATTTTTTTGTTTTCTACTTGTGTGCAGCTAAAACAAATCCATTAACAGACATAGGAGTTGACTTTGAGGCGATCAACAGGAGAGAGAAGCGACTAGAGAAACCGACAAACACACCAGCACCAACGTCTACTATCAACATGGGTAGAGAAATGGGATCATGCACTTGCTTAGGGCAGTGCTTGTGCAAATGCTATGAGACCTCCACCAAATCCAATGGTAGCCTCTGGCATTGTTGGACATGGGTTTTACCCCCAACAAGGCCTATTAAGACAATGAATTAGCCCATCTCACTAGGAAACCCTAGTTCTCACATTCCTATAAGTAAGGAGCTACCTCCTTATTAGAAAGGATTCTCCTCTCATTTTTAGACTAAGAACACTTCTTAGGGATTTATAGATTCACTTTACATTTGTATTCACTCATTGTAATGAATCTTCATATCAATAAATCTCTTTGATGTTCTATTTTCATTCGATTTCTTTGTTGATTTCTCCTAAACCTCAAGGATTTAAGAATCCAATTCTTAAATCTTTTATTACTATGATTCTACAAAAAACACCATTTTTGGATCAAACAGTTGGCGCTAGAAGGAGGGGCCAAGGAGAACAATCTTCAAATAAATTAAACATGAGAAGATCTAAGATCTGAGAAAAAAAAAAAAAATCAAGAATGAACAGCGACTCTTTCTTCTTCCTCGGGGGAACGACGGTGGTTTCAAAAAAGAAAAAAAAAAAAAAAAAAAAAAAAAAAAGAAAAGATCCATTCCGACAACTAGAGATCTCGACAAGCTCCGATGGTTTCAAGAAGAAGGGATGAGACGGCAAGCTCTCTGAGACACGACCAGACAGAGCTCGTAAAACCGAAAGTCTCAGTATTTTCCGGTTAGAGAGATTCGACTTTGACGAGTCCAATGGAAAGGCTGCGACTTTGATGAGTGACGCAATCGGGGTCTCATGTCCTTGCCGGTGCAGTCGTTTGTTTGTTCGGGACCAGTGTCTTGGCAAAGCTCAAATCTTTATCTCAGCACCTCGCCATCTGGTCGTACAAAGGAGGAGCTTTCGGGGGAGACGAGGTCTGAGATCTCCATCTCCAGCATTCACCAAACATCAAGTGAGTGTGTCAGTTCAGCTGCTTCTGACCAGAGAACTTTAAAGGTACTAGCTTTCCGTAGACCTTGCCGACAAGGAGAACACGATTTTGTTTTCCTCTGCTTCGTACTCCTCTTGGTGTTGTGAGAGAGAGTATTGAGAGTCTATCAGGGAGTAGATTCGACTTTAACCAACACAAAGAAGGAGACGAGTCTTGTGGCTCTGTTCTAAACTGTCATGAGGAACAACAGCAACAACAGATGGCGTTTTGTATATTCTTGTTGTCTTCACAATGGCATCACTGAAGCATGGAGGTCCCCTTGTAAGAACAAGACTAAACGTGGCTTTGAGACACTGAGAGTTACAAGAAAACACATCTCTGAAAGAAGAGGTACCTACTACGAGAAGAGCTGATGCCTTCCTTCAACAATCTCCATGGGTCTTGACCTGATTATCTTTCTAACCTTCCATTGATGGCTCCTGATTTGAACTCAAACGACTTCACTGGAAAGATACCCTTGAGTCCCTGGAACTTAACAAATCTGATGAAGTTTTCAGCTTCTAACAGCCGTTCAGGAGGTTATTACCTGCAGAGATTGGCAGTGCAGGATCATTGAAGCGTCTTGTTCCCAGCGGCGACCTGCTTAGAGCGAGATCTCAAGAGAGGATGGGAAGCCGACTTCTTTATCCTTCAGTGACTCTGGATGCAAACAAGCTCAGAGACTTCACCATATTAGCGGCTACATGAGACACTTCGACGTCCTCATGTCCGTAAGACATACTAAAGACGCAAGCTTTGTGGTGTAGAGCTCTTACGTCTTCATCAAGCTCTCCTGCTACACCTTGGCATCAGGCAGAAGCGAATTGCACATCCCCTCATAGACATCATCATGTTCTGGTCTCGTGAAGCGCTTGCCAAGGACAAGACTTTATCTTCTTCCCGTGAAAAGCTTGACGCAACCAATACAAGCTCCTCGTCGAAAGGAAATAGGTCATGAATCATGACCTTATCTTCAGATCATCACTTCAAGATGCCTCGACTTGTTGTTCTCGGCGTGTTGCTCACAAGGATGACAAGCTCATCAGACAATATTTGCTTCTCCAACATTGCTGAGTTCTTGCTCCAAGTTAAAGACAAGATCACGGCAGTGGCCACCACAAGCACAAGCTTCACGTAAATTTATTGAAGAGCTCACGGTCTCCGTCTAAAACTTACAATTTCTTCACCACAAAGATAAGTGTTTTTCTTTTATTAAATTAAATCACCACATGCTTAATCACTTTTAAATTATACGTGGTTGTGATTGACATTATCTTTGGTTCATAAACTATTAAACAACTCTAAGTTATTCATTCATCTCATATTATTGCTTTGCTGTCGTTAGCCTATGATATTAATAAGTCTACAATTATTATATCATCATGTGCACACGAGCATTTAAAAACAAGTTTGATGGCTTGCTTATTAATTATGCAAAGTTGGTTATTTCTTTTGGTTTATATTGGTCTAATCATGTTCATGCTTTTCTTGAACCAGAGATCTTTGAGCCAAAGATGAAAATCGACAAACTGTTGCCATCCTCGTGTTTCGAAAGATGAGCTTTCAGCTACAAGACTGTCGGGAGCACTACAATGGCACAAGCCAGCGCGTTTCTCATCATAGCCTGACGAACATACAAACCAACAACTTGCTCGACATACAACGATCTCAACACGAGACTTCGGATCAGCAATAGTTCGGTAAACTTGTATACTAGGCACGAGTTTAAATTGAACTTGCTTTTTATTAGGCACGAGTTTGCAATCAACTCGCTTATTGTTAGACACGAGTTTACAAAAACTCATCCTTGACTAGGCACGAGTTTACATAATCTCTCCTTCTACCAGGCACGAGTTCAGTAAACTCTCCTTCGTCTCGGCATGAGTCTAGTAAACTTGTCTTTCATTAAGCACGAGTTCAAAGCAAACTCGCCTTTTACTAGGCACAAGTTCAAATTAAACTCGCCTAAACCGTCACAGGCATGAGTGTGTCTAGTTCATTGTCTAATAAACCCTATTCGTAAAATTCACAGAGATCGACTTCGTCTCTCTCTACGAACTTGGGGGGACTTACTGTTGGACATGGGTTTTACCCCCAACAAGGCCTATTAAGACAATGAATTAGCCCATCTCACTAGGAAACCCTAGTTCTCACATTCCTATAAGTAAGGAGCTACCTCCTTATTAGAAAGGATTCTCCTCTCATTTTTAGACTAAGAACACTTCTTAGGGATTTATAGATTCACTTTACATTTGTATTCACTCATTGTAATGAATCTTCATATCAATAAATCTCTTTGATGTTCTATTTTCATTCGATTTCTTTGTTGATTTTTCCTAAACCTCAAGGATTTAAGAATCCAATTCTTAAATCTTTTATTGTTATGATTCTACAAAAAACACCATTTTTGGATCAAACAGGCATGCCCATGGGGGAAGGGATGAACGTTGGTGGATATGCGTGTATGAACCAAAACCAACCCATGGGTGGTATGAGAATGGGACCAGACATGAACATGAACATGAACATGAACATGAGAGGAGGATATGGCCAAGGCTATTTGATGCAGCCACAAAATCTTGGAATGGTCCCTAGTCAGAACATGCCAGGCAACAACAACAATTATAATTCAATGATGGGTCAAGGCGGTTACAACCCTCAACAATCTTATGGGGGTGGATACATGTAAGATGAAGGCAAACCATTACAAATTAGACTTTCCACTTTTAAAATCAAGAATAGAGTACACTTTATGGCTCTGTTCTTCTCTCTGTTTGTTGTGAAATTTCTACTGTTGAGAATGATAAACCTCCCTCATATTTGTCCTTTTTGTTACATGTGTATTATAAATTGACATATACACATTTTCTTCTTTTATCTTTTTATTTTTTGGTTTCACGTGTAAAATATTTTACACTCACGAAACAAATAAAAGTAGTTCCTCTCTTTACATGTGTATTTTACTGTATCATTTCAAAATGACTTGTATTCTACCACCTCCACTGTCTTTAAAGTTTAAAGTCTAACAGAAGTTTCCAGCCGACCATCAATTGCTTCAGGTTCACGCCTCATAAAGTTACAAAACCTCAGACTCTGTGATAGATGTGACATTGTTGATATACTCTTGGAGATGCTGAAGATTCTTAGACCAGAAGTAGCTGTTATAATAATTATGGACCGTTTTGATATCCTTTTCAAAGTGAAAGCTATAACCATCAGATGAGGTGGAATGGCACGATGCATCCAAACTCAGATAGTGGTTTGATAAATTATTTTATTCTTGAAAATTTGTTGGGTTGGGTCTAAATTGGATAATATAAAACTTAAGTAGCGTATTAGGATATTTTCAAGAACTAATGGACTCCGAGACAATTTATTTACTAAACGCGTAACGACGTTATCGTTACGGTGGCCTTTACTCGAGTTACCGACTAGAGAGTCTTAACGGCGTCCGATCTCACGTTAGACTCATATCTACTTCTCTCTTGATTCTTCCTCTTGCTAAAGCCTTAGCTGCTACGAAGTTTCTCCTCCAAATCTGATAAGCCTCTTCTAGATTGATCGGATCAAGGTATGGTCTTTGAAATTCGTTGTTGAATTTAGGGTTCAAGGTTTTCTGCTTGATCGTCTCTGAGTGGGCTTATTTGGATTCTCTCACATTGAAGTTGAATTTCGTTGTTTGGTTCAATTGAATTTTAAATTTGGATTCTTTGATTGGTAGATGGAAGCTCTGTCTTCTCTCACATTCAAGGGCTCTGTTACAGAAGCCATATTCGAAGCTAAAGGACAGAAGAAGCTTTTTGTTGTCTACATCTCTGGTAAAGTTTCGTAATCATACAATGATCTTGATCTTTTATACTAACAATGAATTTGCTTGGATTTTTTTTAGGAGAGGATGAAGAGTCGGATAAGTTGAACAACTTGACATGGACTGATACATCCGTAGGTTTCTCTTGTTTATCATCTTTTGCAATCAAAGGTCATTGTTTTCTTCATAACATTTTCTATGTGTTTCCTAGTACAGGTGGCAGAGTCGGTGTCCAAGTATTGTGTTTTGTTGCATCTCCAAGCTGCAAGTGCTGACGCCACAAACTTCTCCGCTATATGTATCCTTTCTTATTTTTATTTTTATGCTCTGCTAGTCTTAAAGGTGTTTCTTTGGATTGTGTATAGTAAAAGCCGAGTGTTCCAACGCTGTGCTATGTATTAGTTTATCATTCTAGCTGGCGTATCCATGTAGGACTATACATTTGTTTGTGTGTGTAATGGAAGTTCTTTTTTTTTTATTGATTTTCTTGAGGCAACAATATGGATACACTTACATCAGTTTCTAGACCCATATTCATCTGTTCCTTGTATAGCTGCCATTGGATTCAGTGGTACACAAGTTTGGAAAAATGGTAATTTCATATGTACAAAAGTATTTACACGTTATAGTCTATGGTCACGCAAACATGCTCAAGTTTGGTTTTCATTCCTTCTTTTTTCAGAGGGATTTATTGCTGCTGAAGATCTTGCATCCAGTTTAGAGAAGGCGTGGTTGGGACTTCATATCCAGGTACGCGGAAGCTGCTTCTCTTTCCCTTTTGATGTTGTTTCTCCTTAGTCCTTATACGCATTTTTTTTTGTTTTATGATTTTTTTTGTTGCTTAGTAATGCCTTTGGACATTTCTCATTTTCAGGAAACAACAGCAAGTATCTTTTCAGCAGCACTTGCATCACAAAACTCAGAGCAACCTGCTTCTAGTGCTTCTAACGTTGTTTTACCTCCTGAAGGCGGTACTTCAGATGCAGTGGTTGCATCTCAATCAACTGGAACTAGTGTCCAATCCTCAGAGAGAAAATCAACGAAAGAAAAAAGTGATGGCACAGCTGCAATTAAGGTTGTCCATAGAGCTGAAAAGCATTTCCACATTGCTTTAGTTTTGATGTTGTCTTACATGGTGTAGCCGGGTTCTTAAACAGGTCAAACAATCTGCTGAACCTAGTAATCAGCCAGCATCTTCTATAGATGGAACTAATGCCAAAGTCGAACATGAAGCAATAGAGACCTCCTCGTGTGTTCAGGCAGAAAAGGAGCCCATTCGACCTGCAGCCCCAAGCCCAGAGAATAGTACATCCAAATCTTCTACAGATAGAAAAAGAAAACAGGAAACCGTGATAAACAAAGCTGAAAGGGATATTAATATAGCAAAATCTGTGTCTGCAGAAGAGATTGTTAAGCCTAAGGATGAAGCAGAGGATGGAGAAAGTTGGAAACAATCATCTGATGTTCATTTAAACATTCGATTGCCTCATGGTTCTAACCTTCAAGAGAAGTTTTCTGTAACAAGTACATTGAAAATGGTTAAGGACTATGTGAACAGCAATCAAACAACCGAACTAGGTGCTTATGATCTTGCCGTTCCTTACCCCCGTAAGGTTTATAAGGACCAAGGTATGTCAAAATCTCCAATGCATCCAACAGATTTAGAATATTTTTGTTAAAGAGCAATCTACCTTAAATTCTGCAGATCTTGATAAGTCTCTGTCTGAGTTGGATTTGCTCGGTAGACAAGCACTTATAGTGATTCCGAGGAAAAGAGCAACCGTCTATCAAAGAGGACCATCTTACTCCGAGTCTAACAACACAACAGACACTAACAATGGTGGTTACTTTGCTTATCTAAGAAGAGTACTCTCTTATGCAAACCCATTTTCATATCTTGGCGGCGGTACTGCTAATGCATCAAGCTCTACTCAAGAACCTCGAGGTAGTACGGAGTATGGTGAGCTCACAGAAACCCTTTATAATGCATCAGAGTATGTAACTCTTTTTTTTCTTTTTGTCTTCAGTGCCGGTTGCGTCCAATGCAGAGCAGAGAAACAATCTGGCGCGAGTGAGCTCAGAAGGTAGGGGAAACGTTAGGAACAGGAGACCAACCACATCTAGGATTGGAAGTAACATCCATACGCTAAGACACGATGAAGAAGACGCTCCGTTTGGTGATGGAAACGCGTTTTGGAATGGAAACTCCACTCAGTATGGCGGTGAAAGCGGTGGTGACAGTAATGATAGGCGATGAAATGAGACAACTTGAACTCTGTTTGGATCTAGTGCAACAGAAACAGTTCTAAATTACTGAACTCTTCTTATACTTTACTCTCTATATGGTTGACCAGCTACAAAATGTTTCATGTTTCTGTTTTCAGTTACTCATAAAAAAAATTCTAAAAGATACTCCCTCCGATCCTAAATGATCCATATTTTAGAAAAATATTTTGTTTCTAAAAGATTCATATTTTACATTTTCAATGTATGTAATAATGGTAAATTGTAAACTTCAAAAACATTAATTATGTTTACTGAATTTTGATTGGTTAAAAATCATAGGAAATAGCTAAACACATAAAATAATGCATTTATTATCAAAATTTCAAGTGTTTTCTTAATAAGTGTGAAAATTCTAAAACATAGATCATTTAGGAATAGAGGGAGTAAATTTTAAAGAAAATCTATTAAAAGAAATAGAGAAAATTACCTACGCTAACTCTTATTCATTACATAATTACTAGCTTAACTCTCTTCCCTTGTTTCATATTAGTTTATGTAGGTATTGACGAAAAAATCCCGTGATACAAAACTGCCATTCTCTAAAAAAAATATTATCATTAGAAAAAAAAAAACACAAAAACTAAACATAACCCTTCTTCCTCGTTTGTGTCGTAGAAACAGAAAAAAAAAAACAGTTCCCTAAAAGAAATTAGGGTTTTGATTCCTCTTTGTATGGTCTTTAATCCAACAAATAGATAGAAATTAGAAATCTCAGGCTCGTGAATCAGAAGGGATTAAGCGAAGGTTGCAAACCGGAGAGACGAAATCCCTAAAAGAGATGGAGCCAGAGACGATGGTTGCGATGGCACTCTGTTTTTATGTATGTTGATTCAAAGGTGATAAAATCAACAAGGCTCCTTCCTCCGACAAGGTTCGAGTTGTGTTTTCTCATCTCCGGTGTCGAACTCTCCTAGCGAGGCAAACCTGCATCGCTTTCCACCATAGCTTTACCCGTGCTCTCTGTTCATCTTCTCAACCAAAAAGACAAACCGATTTCTGGTTTAACACTATTCACCCTCATGATCTTGTCGTCTTAGCACTCTGATAGTTGATTTCTGTGTTGGTTGAGCTTCATTGTTTGGTTCTTACCTTATCCTGTTTTTGTTGATTCGTTACATGTTTTACTGAGTTCAATCCTCTGTTTAGACATTTATTTTTTTCTTGTTTTATGTTTGTTCCTCTATCATCTTGTTCATTTGCTTCATTGCATATACGTTTCTGAAACCTTTGTTTACTTAGTGTTTGATTATGTTTTTTTTTTACTTCTCTGTTTGTTTACCAATATGTTTGATTCTGATTAAAATGGTTGCTTTGTTATTTATCATAATTGTATATATAACTAATTTTGCAGAACATGAATTCTTTATTCTAATTCGTTTCATGCTAACTTTTTTTCATTGCTAGATATGGATTCTCTTAGCAGTAAGCGAAACTATCCACGACTACTCTACAAAAAAAGGAAAGCTCCTAGTCAGCGGAAGAGTATGAGTTATTATAGTTATTTGTCAAATTTTCAAATGGTAGAAGTAGGTGTGGGACTTGATGGCTGGGATGCGGTGAAGAAGTCTGCAATTGGTGTATTTCCTAGATTTTATGAGCTTATGGTGTGCAAAGCTTGTCCATCACCTACTAACACATCAGATTCGAGTTCAGAAGAATTATGAGATATGGTCATTGATTGATTGGCAGCCCATTCGTCTCTCTGATTGAATTTGGTGCGATCACTGGGATGAACTGCGAACCATTCCAAAAAGACGACATGTGTGATGTTGATCATACAGAATTTTGGAAAGAAATGGGAGTTTCTCCAGCTGTTGGTCCTAACTTGGTTCAGCTTCAGTCGGCATTGGAAAGATGTAAAAATTGGAGTCTCGAGAAGAGGACAATGGTGGGATTGTTATGTGTTCTTCATCTTGCTGTTTATGGCATTGCTCCCTCACGTCATATTCCGTTGGAGTGTGCAAAGAGAGTTCTTAATTACGAAGCTTTCCAGAGATACCCATGGGGCCGGGTAGCTTGTCAGAGTTTGATACACTCTGTTAAGTGTGCAGATTACAGTGCCAAGGAGTCTTATACATTGGGAGGATTCATATTCATCTTACAGATTTGGGCATATGAGTCAGTAATGGGCTTAGGAGAGCTTTACGGGAACAAAATCAGTGATGCAGAAGTGCCTCTTCTTTCATGGAGTGGATCCCGTAGATTCAAATTTGAGGACTTCCTAAAAAAGAGAAAGAACATCATGATAAGATTTAATTTCTTAACATTTATATTTTCTGCTGATAGTTTTTTTTTTTTGTTTCAAAGTATAATGAAATACAGTTATTTTATAGGTTCGTGTTAAGCCTTTTATTACACAAACAGAAGGAGAGCTTCTGCCTCAGTGGGATGATGGAGTTGATGATGAAGATGTAACAAGCCTGGTCGATGATATCAGAAATGATTGTGTAGATCAAGGATTTTGGGATGTCACTGAAGAACCTCCAGATTAGGGCTTCTTTTCTTTTTGGTTTAAATTAAGTTTTGTTTGGTTTAATTAAATAATTTTGGTTTATATGATTTTGATTCTAATTATGGCTGGTTTGAAACTGTTTGGTTTAAATTAATTTAAATTACCGGTATATGAAATAAATTTCAGAACTAAACCTTTTAATTTGGTTTGCAATAACCATGCCGGTTAAGGGACCTGTGGCTAAGTCATAAATAAATATGTCGCTTTACTTTCAACAAATCTGTCAAATTACGATAAATCTGTGATCAAATACTAGATAAATCTATCAAAACCTATTTAAATCAGTCAAATCTGAACAAATTTGTGGTCAAAGAAAAAATAAATCTATCAAATCTTAACTAAATCTGTCATAATTAAGTAAATCTGTGGCTAAAGGATAATAAATCAGTCAACTCGGAATTAAATCTGTAAAAAAACAAGTAAATTCGTGGCTAAAGAAAAACTAAGTCTATCAAAACTTACGTAAATCTGTTAAAATTAAGTAAATCTGTGGCCAAATAAATTAAATCTTGCACAATTTGATAAGTCTGTGGCTAAACATGACATACTTGTTGTAACAAATCTGTGTAATTCTTATTAAGTCTATAAACTTTTTAAAAAAATCTATGGCTAAATAAAAATATTTTTAAGTTTGCGGCTACATAAAATGTGACATGAATAAGTCAGTGGATGGCAAAATCGTAAATATTCCGAAAATTCATTAATGGCATTTTCGTAATTAGTTTTTTTTGTTAACAAAGGAAATATGGGTAAATTAGGTATGAAAAAAAACTAATAAAGAAAATAAAATTAGAGTTAAACTAGTATAACGATAATTCAAGGTTAAACTAGTTTTTCTCCCAAAGAAATATGTAGAAATTTAGACTATAACTTGTTGTCGTTTTGATAAATTTTGGTTCTAATCATATAAAGCAAATTACAACCTGGCATATAAAAATGTATGGTCATCTTGGACCAAAGTTGAATATACAATAAAATCTCTATAAATTAATAATATTGAGACTTTGAAATTTTATTAATTTTGTAGAGATATTAATTTACAAAAGTTTATTTATTTAGATTTTTTTTTCTATTTTTATTTTTAATATAAAAATATATTTGATTTTAGCGTATGTACATTATTTAAATTTTAGAATTTTGACTTTTTATTCTTTTATTATCTTATTTAGTGTATACTTTTATGTTTCATAGAATTGTTTATAATTTGACTAAATATTATCAAAATATAATGAAATGTTAAAAAAAAAGTTTTTTTTACTATAAATATAAATCCAACAATATAATATTAGATTCTACTTATATAAAATTATTTATAGATAGATTATTAATTTATGATTTTAATGGACTATATATTTACATGGAAGTTTTGGAAATATTATTATCTTATTATTTTATCGATTTGTGTCATATTTTACACCGGCCCAAGTTGGAACTGGTAAAATTTATTAATTTATAGAGATTATTAATTTATCGAGTATTAATTTATAGAGATTTTACTGTATGTATTTGACATCACCAAAAATGTATATATGTGAATCAACTTGATAATTTATTATTATGTTTACACATGAATCCATTAATGATAATTCATTTTAATAATCCAATTGAAAGATTAGTCTTTCCCACTCTGAAACCTCTTTGCCATTTAATAAAAACTTGGGTCCCATTCTATCTGGTGGAATAGAAAATTTTATTGAGCCTTACGAAAAGTTAGTCATGGTAGTTAGGGGTGGGCATGGATATCCTGATTTTTGGAAATATTATCTGTTTTATCTGAATATAATCAATTAACCGATCCATAAAAAATAATTAAAATTGTCTAAATCATATGAATAATACTATTTTATTATGAAAATATCTTTTTTACATTTTTAATTCTAATAAATAATTTAATAAATTTAGTAAATAAAAATACTTATATTAGTTTTCGTGATATATATATATATATATGTATATAATGGATCAGACCGGAAATTTGTTCCTAAAAATAGAAGTTTTCGTAATTCGATTTGCTTCTTACGAATATCTCATTTTAGTATTTTTTTTTGTTTTGTGGATATCTAGATTTTTTTGGTTCGAATTGAAAATAATAACTACCAAATTGAATTAAGATTTATGCATATATTGGTCAATTAAATTTTGGTAGTGGTCTTCCATGATTTTCCTTTTTCATTATACTTGTATACTAGGATAAGACCTGCGCCTTGCGCAGGGTGAATATATGTAATTAAAATATAAAATTTTAATATTCACAAATTTAAAATTTACATATGACTGTTTTTGTATGTATTTGAAATTTTAGAATTTTGGAATTTTTATATAATTATCTATACGTATGATCAAAAACAATTTTAATTAGAAATGTAAATCAAATCTTAGAATTTAATGGATCTGATTTCATATATCTTTTTACTTTTCAGTGTTCGAGTGATGGAAAATAAATGGAGTGTCACTGGGCTTGATTGGTAGAGTATAGCAAGTTCCCTAATGTTTTTAAAGAAGCAATTGGTAAAATATTTGCAATTAAAATATATAAGTTTCTAAACTAATTTAATATAATTTATTTATTTGTCTAATAATATTAGAAAATTATAATTTTTAAAAATAATTTTCTAAAAAATTATGTTAAATTTAAAATTATTTTTAAAAGCAATATTTTAAGTTTTTCGAATACAAAGAAACAATTTAAAATTAATTATTGTCATGATTTAACATAGCCATAATGATTTAAAAAATTAAAAAATTTAAAAGTTAACAAATTAAAAATTAACTCAGTTTTATATCATGATTTAATAATTTAAAAATTAATTATGGTTATGAGAAGTTTACGTTCACGTGTCAATCCTATTTATCTTCCAGTTATGAGAACTTCACGTTCACGTGTCAATCCTATTTATCTTCCATTTTTCTCTTGCTATGTTTTTTTTTTATATTTTGGTTATTACTCGATATAAATATTTATTTTGAATTTTATTCTCATTTCGTTTGTTTGTTTTGACCTGAAATTTAGAAAATATTTAAGTTTTAAAATAATTAAACAGATAAACACTTAGGTTAAGATCTGCACTTTATGCACAAAGTATTTTATATTTATTATTTCTTTTATATTTTTCTGCATATTATAAGTAATAAAATAATAAATATATATATATTAAATAACTAAGAAATCAATTACTATTATGTAACAAATTGGCGTATGCATATAAATTTAACTATTACTCTTGTTTATTCACAATTAGGGTAAATAAATCAAAATTATCAATCTTATATATTGTATATGATATATAATTAAATTTAAATGATATAAACATAGTCATATAGCACACTTTTAATATGGATATTTATTAAATGAGGTTTCTACTCATATGATTTTATGATTATTTGCATATTTGTGTAACAAAACTTTACACCAATGATTTATAAATTACGTTATGATTATTTGAATTTAAGTATTTTNTTGTATATGATATATAATTAAATTTAAATGATATAAACATAGTCATATAGCACACTTTTAATATGGATATTTATTAAATGAGGTTTCTACTCATATGATTTTATGATTATTTGCATATTTGTGTAACAAAACTTTACACCAATGATTTATAAATTACGTTATGATTATTTGAATTTAAGTATTTTCCATTTTACATATAAACTTCCATAAATTAAAAGGAATGAAGTTATTATAGTTAATATATGCAAATCGTTATCAAATCGTATATTTTCCTTTTCTTCCATTACATGTGTGCGATATATATAAATATATAAACTATGTTACATGCGTTATATGCGTCTCTAATTATTTTTCCCTAGCAAATTTCAATTGAACCTAAAACCGCCACGTTAGTTTAATTGATATGCTAATTGATTGACAACTAAGCAAAGTTACTTTTTAATTAATATAAACTTGAGGTTAGATCTTTTCAAATGTTTCTCAATTAATATATAGGGGATTTTTCTTCGTCAGAGTTCAAAATGATATTAATATTCTGGTGAATGTAATAAGAAGTCAAGAGTACAAATTCTCCAGACACGCGGATTACCTTTTCTTGGTGAATAGACATTTTCATTGATCCTTACGAAAATACTAGACCAGTTCGGTCAACGTTGTACAACTAACAATGATCAACATAAGTTTAAACAAAGACTTCACCAGAGATTTTATTATTATTTGTTTTATTGAAGTAAGGATAGCTTGACCTTTTTATTTTTTATTAGGGCTGGGCAAAAAAGTTGAATCTGAAAATCCGAACCGAACCGAACCCGACCCAATAAAAAGGAATCTGAATTGATCCGAACTCGACATAAGTACCGAATGGATCTTGTTTTACGGTATTTCGGGTTATGGTATTACCCGAACCAAACCCAAACTTAAATGGATATCCGAAAGAACCTGAAACTTTAAAATTCCAAAAAAAACTTGTATCATATCCAATCTAAATTTCTAATATGTTTCCAAAACAAATTAATATATTATTGAATATTTACAATAATTAGTTATGATATAATTAACTAACTCAAATATTTAGTCTAATATAGTGCTATTTGGTTAATATTAATGTTTATGATTGACACTACATTTGAAGTTAAGTTACGAATAAATTTGTTTTGAAGTTTATATAATGTTGTTTCTTTAAAATTTTAAATAGTACTTCTTACGTTTATAGAATTGTTAACTGTTAACTTTATTTTTTTATGTTTCATTATGTATAATATTTCGTTCATACAAGGTTTTGGTTTGTCATTAATCATGATATGTTTAGTGTTGTCACATATAGTTCAATGAGAAATCTTATATGGTTGATAGAGGAGTTTCACAATATTATTTTGAAGAAGAACAATATAGTTTGTAGAAGCTAAATACACGATTTTAATAAAATGATTGAAAATATAGTGAGTTTAATGAGTATAAATTAGTATTTTTAGAACCGATAACCCGATTAGTATCCGAAACCAAAATTATTTCGGGTTCAACCGGATTTTGGACATGTTACTAAACCCGAACCGAACCCGACTAAATCCGAACCGAATCCGACCTGATTTTTTTTTAATATCCGAATGGGGCTGAGATTCATGAACCCGGAAACCCGAAACCCGAATGAACCCGAACTGAAACCCGATTGGGACCCCGATTGCCCAGCCCTACTTTTTATATATATTGATTCAAGTGAAACCATTTTGTATATGTATCCATTTTGGGGAGACTTTCAAGTGAAACCATTTTCACTTGTCCCTTCCTAGCTAGTTCATCATCGTGTCCACAAATGGCCCCTGTGAATGAGTATGTGGATCTCTTTTGGCATGACCATCCTTTATGTTACAAAGTTGATTTAATTGCTGATGGCTGCGAGGAGTGTCATAAGTCTACTGGAAACTTTGTTGCTTGGAGCCCGTTATATGAATGCTCTGTATGCAAAAAAAGATGGCATCCCTCTTGCGTTCCAAGCTCACCAGTGAGTATTAGACACCCCTGCCACATCAGCCACTTCCTTGAGCTTTGCCTCCAAGGACTACCTAACTACGCTAACTGGAAATGCAGCCTATGTCAACAGACACTCTCCAGTTTTATCTACCACTGTAAGCTATGTGATTTCAGAGTAGACATGAACTGCGCAAAGATGACCATGGACTCACTCTCATGGGGAGGGATGTCTCCTTCACATGTAACACTTGTGGTACACATGGTGAGCGAAACCCTTATGTATGTCTTCCATGCTCTCTCATGTTTCATTATGATTGTATTGATCTAACACACGTCATAAACATCAACCGTGATGATCATCGCATATCTCATGCATACCCTTTATGTCCAAGGGATAGAGTATGTGAAGGGCTAGATATTGTTGGATCATTAAATCCCAAAAAAGCTTTAATAACATAGTGAAAACAAATGACTTGAGCTTGTTTATTTGATAAACCTAAACCTTAAGTTAATGAAGAGAAAGGAAACTTGTCCCACATCGGGGAAAACAAGTGAGAGGGAGATATATATATATGTTCTCATGTTATGAGGGTGTAAACAGCTCAGAGTAGAACAAGGTGCTCCATGCGCGCGCCGCTGCTGCTGTCCGGCCGGCGTGGGCATAGTGAAAACAAATGACTTGAGCTTTTGGTCCGATAAGAAGTTATCTTTTTGGACCAAATTAAGTCCAAGGCTTTACCATTTAAACCTAAAAAAAACAGCATGCAATTTTATTTAAAACGGCAAATAGTTTGTTTAACAAATAAAAACACGTCACGCTGTTTATTCCTCGCCAGATATTTTAATAAAAGAGAGAGAAAGAGAGAGAGAGTCTTGGGGGATAAGCTTTCGTAACTTAAACTTCCCGAGATCTTGCCAAATCCCCACTAACGAGCACACGTTATGGGAAAGTTGCTCCTCGTCTTCTCTTTAAATATTGTTTCTCCTCTTTCTTCATTCTTAAATTTTTCACGCAAAAAGAACCCAGCAAAAACCCCAGAGTAAGTTTAGAAAGTGTTTAGTAGAAATATTTGTTCGTCAGATACGTTCACGAGTGAGAGAGTGAATCGTCTATCATGGTTTTATCCGGGGACTCTAATTCGTACAAGTCCGTCTCACTGCGGAGCGAATATTAAGAGTTAAAGAAAGAGATTTGTCTCGACTCTATGCCGGTTTTATAAAACCTTTTCCTAATCGGTTTCATATCATCTTTCCAATCGTTTATTTCCTTAACATCGTTTTAATTTATATTGTTTCTGTTAATTCGATTTTTTGGCTCCTACAGTCTTAACTCTTAATCGCTTCTATTACATATAAGCTTTTATCGGATTGGTTTATTATGGTTTTATAAACGATTCTTCAAGGATTTATAAAATGGTTTGGTTTTATTATAAAACGGGTTTGCGATTTGCTATTAACATCTCCGCGAAACGTTTATTGTTTTGACTATCAACGCTTTTGCGGTTTGCTTTTAGCACTTCCGTGAAACGTTTTTTTACATCATTATTAAAACGTTACCTATTCGAATCGTTTCCACGAACACTTTCTTAAGAGAGTTTGTGAAACATTCTAAAAGTCTATACGAAACGGTTTCTGCGAACGCTCTAATGCGAGTTTGCAAAACGATTTCAGACTTGTATCGATATGATTTGGTTCAAACACCAAAAATGAAAATCGGTTCTAAACTATTATTTTATTTAAAATAATATGTTATATATTGAATGGAGTACTAATCCGTTTCATGTTATCTCAACAGAAGAAAAATGTCGGATCTTATGAACACCAATGTTGACCCCACCACTGTTTCAACTCCACTCAACACTACAACAACTGATGCTACCGTGACAACCGCTGGTAAACAGCGTCAACCGCTGAAACCATCTCACCTATCTTACCAGTGGGCAATGTTTCTGATGAAACCATGTGCCGTAACCTGTTCAGTGCTGGTCTTTATCAAATGGGTCCAATTCCAGGATCCACAAGTGCTCCGGCTGCAGTTGCGACTCTTCCGGCTGTTCCTGGTGTCATTTCTCAAGGATTGATGCCAGAAAAGTTTGATGGCAAAGACTTCAAAACGTGGCAGAAGAAGATGATGTTCTTCCTCGCAATGATGAAGTTGGATAAGTTCATCCAAGAGGATAAGCCCATTATCCCTCATGGGATTGAGGATGTTCACACATTCGCAAGTGTTGACATCTGGGTGCATTCTGATTTCATCTGCAAAGGTTACATTTTGGGTCACCTCATTGACCCATTGTACCAAGTCTAGTGTGAGATCCCAACGACGAAAGAGCTCTGGAAATTACTGGACAAGAAGTACAGAGGTGAAGACACTGGCTGGCAGAAATATTTAGTTGCAAAATTCCATGACTTCAAAATGGTGGATTCAAAACCCATCATGGATCATGTAGAAGCATTTCAGCTCATTTGCCATAAAATCGCTGCTGAAAGAATGTCCATCTGCGAGACATTCACAACTCTCAGCTTCATCCAAAAGCTTCCTCCAGGCTATGCGGATTTCAAGAACTACTTGAAGCACAAGAAGAAGAAGATGGGACTTGAGGATCTCATCCAGAGGCTTCAGATGGAATCCAGAAACCGAAATGATGACAAGCTGCTCAAGGGTAAAGAGCACAGTGTCAACATGGCTGAAACAAAAGGTAAAGGGAAGGTAATTGCTAACTCTCCTGCCAAACCTTCCAAAATAGCTGCAAACTTGAAGGCTTCTGGACAAAACTTCAAGAAGAAAGGCGTTGAAAACAATACAAATGTGGAGAAATTCAAGGGAAAATGTCACTACTGCCACAAAGTTGGTCTCATGACTGTTGAGTGTCGCAGCAAGATGAGATGAGAAAGCTCATGCAGATCTCACTGAAGAAGATCTCGTTGTAGTGGTGACTGAAGTCAACATGGTTGAAAGCAACAACCCTAAGGAATGGTGGTATGACACTGGTGCCACCACCCACATTTGCACTGATAGGGCGATGTTCAGCACCTATCAGAAAAGCAAGACTCATGAGAAGTTATTCATGGGGAACAAAGCAGTCTCCAAGATTGAAGGCCCCGGCAAGGTGATTCTGAAGATGACATCTGGAGGTGAAGTCACTCTGCAGAATGTGAAGCATGTGCCAGACATGAGGAAGAATCTTGTTTCGGGAACCTTGCTTAGCAGGAATGGATTCACCACATCTCTTGAGGCGGACAAGCTCGTGATTAGGAAGAATCGGATGTATTTGGGAAAGGGGTATGTTAAGGATGGACTGGTCAAAATGAATGTAATGACAGTCCTTCCAAAAGTTGTAGCTCCAAAAGTTTTAAGGAATAAGAAAGAGGCAGTTGCTTATTTGGTTGAGTCTTTTAATATTTGGGATGAAAGATTAGGCCATCTGAACTACAAATCGATACAAAGATTAATGAATCTAAATATAATCCCAAAATGTAAAACAAGTAAACAAAAATGTGAAGTATGCGTACATGCTAAGCTCACAAAAACGCCCTCACCTCATGTTGAAAGAACTAACAAACCTCAAGATTTAATTCACACTCATTTATGTGATTTAAAATACATACAAACTAGAGGTGGTAAAAAGTATTTTGTGACTTTCATAGATGACTGCATAAAATATTGTTATGTATACTTATTATGTAGCAAAGATGAAACCTTAGAAAAATTCAAAGAATTTAAACTCGAGGTAGAAAATCAGCTTAAAACAACTATTAAGATAGTTATATAGAAGCGATAGAGGAGGCGAGTATGATGGACCATTCAATGAATTCTGCAAAGAACATGGAATAATCTATCAAACTACAGCCCCTTACTCACCAGAATCTAATGGAGTTGCTGAACGCAAAAATTGAACTCTAAAAGAGATGATGAATGCAATGTTGTAGGAATCTGAGTTACCCCAGAACATGTGGGGGGAAGCACTGCTTACCACTAATTATATCCTCAACAAAATTCCACACAAAGTAACTGGTAATTTACCATCGTATAAATACCTCAAAGTGTGGGGGTGCTTGGCAAACGTTGCGGTACTGCCACCAACAATGTCACTATTGGACCTAAAACAGTGGATTGCATCTTCATCGGATATGCACATAACAGTAGTGCTTATTGATTTCTGGTACATAAATCTCAAATATCATATATTCATGAAAATACAGTAATGGTATCAAGAAATGCATCTTTCTTCGAAAATATTTTCCCATGCAAGGAAAAACAAGGTTCAAAACGAACTCGAGAAGAAATAGATAACGACAATGTTTCAGAAACTAAGACAAACGTCGAGATTTCTACAAATGATATTTCCGAAAATGAAAAAGATGAACCTAGAAGGAGCAAAAGAGCTCGAAAGGAAAAATATTTTGGAGAAGATTTCTTAATGGCATTTCTAGTAGAAAATGTTCCAAAAACTTTGGCAGAGGCCATGGCTTCACCAGAAGCTCCATTTTGGAATGAAGGTGTCAGAAGTGAATTTGATTCTATAATGCAAAACTATACATGGTACATAACAGATTTATCACCTAGCTGCAAAGCATTAGGAAATAAATGGATAATGACACGAAAACCTAGTGGAAAATACAAAGCTAGGCTTGTAGTTCAAGGATTCCGACAAAAGGAAGGCCATGACTATTTTGATACATATTCTCCAGTAACAAGAATAACATCAATAAGACTAATGATAGCAATCACAACCTTAAGAGACCTAGAAACCCATCAAATGGATGTAAAAACCGCTTTTCTAAATGGTGATTTATAAGAAGAAATTTACATGAAACAACCCGAAGGTTTTGTCAATCCTGGACAGGAAGGAAAAGTATACCGACTAGTAAAGTCACTTTATGGGCTTAAACAAGCTCCTAAACAATGGCACGAAAAATTTGACAGTACAATGATGTCAAATGGTTTCAAAATTAATGAATGTGACATATGCATATACTACAAAACTACCAAAAATACGTATGTTTTGCTATGTCTATATGTAGATGATATGCTCATTATTGGAAGCAATGAAGACATTATCAATAAAAAAAAGAACATGCTCAAAGGAAAATTTGAGATGAAAGACTTGGGAGTAGCACATGTAATTCTCGGAGTTAAAGTCACAAGAAATTCAAAAGGAATTACATTAACCCAAGCTCATTATGCTGAAAAAATATTGGAGAGATTTAAAAATTACTCGAATAGCATGGCAAAAACTTCGTTAGATCCCCAAATGCACTTGACGAAGAACTCAGGGGAAGCGGTTTCACAAAACGAGTATGCACGTGTGATTGGAAGTCTCATGT